TACTGGACAACACAGGCATCGTATATTGGGTAGATTAACTTCTTAATAATTCAGTTTTGGTGAAAGTTCAAAGGGCCAATATATGGAACGTTGGTTAGAGGCTAGCAACGGTCACTATTAAGCGCATTATAACAGTCATAATAGGTGAGAAGGGGTGGGGAAGCGGAAATAGGGAGGTAGGGGTGACCAGTAATACAGACACTCTACCAATTACTTTTTGTGGATTCTCCCGCATTTATTAGAATCATTGAGCCTCATTGATCCGGACCTCATTGACTAGGTAAGTCTTATTAATCCACACACTATCCACATATCCATTCAGTTATCCACATTGCCCACCTCTTGTGCTTCTATTATTTTTATATTTTCTTTCTTCAACTCTCCATCTGACTACCCACTTATTATCCACAGAAAGGTGCTTCTATCCGTTCCATCTATCCATGTATTTATCTTGTTGACACATTTATATCACAGCAACATCAGTGTGCATAAGATCGTGTGCGCTAAAGTAAGACAAGAGTGGCGTGAGCAAAAGGGAATGGTGACCCATAGGTTCACCTACATCCACATACTTTTCCATGCATTCGCCTACCGTACCTGCCTGCCACATACTTCCCCCCCAGAAATGTTGAACTCCTTGACCCGGAGTCAGTCACCTCATCGAGTTTGAGACGCCCAGGATGAATGACAGACATAGACGTGAAAGCGTCAGAGTTATCTCACCAATAATAGTAGTTACTGTGTCTCGCTCTCCTCATCGAATGACGTAATCAAATAGCACAATCGGGCAGTACGTGATCGAATAGCAGAGTTGGATAGTACGAGATCGAAACGAAAAATCGGACAGATGAATTAAACTAGGGTCACTCCTTGGTCTTTATGACACCACAGTCATCTTACTTCCGCATAATATTCATTCTGTGACCACACTAGTTATGTCATCTACTTTCCTCCCTTCCTTCCTTCCTGCCTTCCTTCCATCCTTCGTTCCTTCTTTCTTTCCTTCTTTCCTTCCTTCCTTTCTTCATTCCTTCCTTCCTTCCTTCCTGTGTCTTTCGTCGTCTGATCGAATCATGTAGTCGTATGATAAAATCAGTGGTCTCCTTTTTAAGAATGGTATATGTTTTGTGTGCATGGGTGTAAGTGTGTGTGCCTGTGTGTGTGCATGTGTGTGTGTGTGTGTGTGTGTGTGAGAGAGAGAGAGAGAGAGAGAGAGAGATAGAGATAGAGAGAGAGATAGAGAGAGAGAGAGAGAGTAGGGAGGAATGAAAATAACACACGACATCCTATTCTACTTGCCAACAAGATTACAATATCGTATCTTCCCTTTTTATATTCTCAATATTTCGAACCCAATTCATTCTCCCTCCCACCCACCCTCCCTAAGTTTGTTGTATCAAAATAGCTCCAGGCCTCGTCTAAATAGAGGTGATCCAATCATTGTTAACATTTTTATCTGGCTTTTTTTTTAAAAATGATGTAAGTTTGTTTTTTGTTTCGTTTGAGAAAAGTTTCCTTTCCTGGAAGGGCAAGTTCTGGTATGATATTCAGATGCTGAGGACGTTAGACAAATTTGAGGCCACGAGGATTGGAGTCAAAGGGCATGCGCAGACGAACACCGGAAGGGATTTAGGGGAAAGTGGGGGG